TAAGCCAACAGGAAAAAAAGAAAAAAAGATTTCCAGAAGTAGAAACTGTAATGAAAAAAAACTATAAACACTCTAAATGTCTAGTAGAGCCTACTTCAACATTTCAATATAATAGATTACCAGACAGTCCAACATCCTTGACATTGTTATTACTGGTCAATAGATGGGAATGTATACGAAATAGTCTTAAATGAAAAAAAGGAAGACAACTTAGCACATATTTTATACTGAATATATCTATTTTAAATATATACATATATAATGAGAAAATAAGACAAATTTAAAGTGATACAGCCTATTTTTCTTCTTCCTTATAAAGCCACTTCATAAGGAAATTTTTTTAAGGTTTGAGCATATATATGACTACATCATGTAACACTTTTCAATTTATGCTAATATATTTCATTAATGATCTCATAATTGTTGAAACCTTTGTTCCCTAGTGTTGTAGACTGAATTGTGTCTCCCTGAAGTTCATATGTTGAAGCCCTGACCCTCGATGTAGCTGTATTTGGACATAGGACCTTTAAGGAGGTAATTAAGTAAATGAGGTCATAAAGGTGAGGTCCTAATTCAATAGGACTGGTGTCCTTATAAGAAGAGGAGGAGACACTAGAGGCATGGGTGCATCTGTGTGCAGAGGAAAGGCCAAGTCAAAATACAACAAAAAGATGGCCCCATCTGCAAGCTGAGGGAACCTCAGGAGAAAGCAATCCCGCTTCTACCTTGATCTTAGACTTCCAGATAGTGAGAACGTCAGATCACTCCAGAATGGTGAGAAAACAAATTTCTGTTTTTCAAGCCACCTAGTCTGTTTTTATTTTATTTTGGCAGCCCTAGTAGACTAATACATCCAGAATACATTTATTTAAAGTGAAAGAATTATATTAATATGTTGAATAATTTCAAATATAATAGAAGTATATGTAAATAGCTTAAAGTTCACTGCCTAAATTTTTAAAAACTTACCTTCAAAGTCGCTTAACAATAGACAACATAAATATCATAAGTGGCAAAATATCTAATGAATAACTGCAGGACAGCTTAGATGCAAGAGATGGGTAATAAAATGTTAGCTGGTAGGGGTTATGCACGCTGAAATGCAGTGATTCTTAGGAGAAATGGCAGGAAGGGAGCATATCTCTTGGTGTTTTGCAGAGACATCTCTTCTGTTAACTCATTATGATATAATGCAAATAGAAGTTCAATTTATAGAGAAGATCTGTGGCACTATTTAAGTTCTTATAATAACTAGACCTTACTATTTATTATATGTACCTAGTGAATTTAAAGTACTTTTTTTTCCTAATTTACTGATTCCCTAAAATAAGTGAGGAGGCTGCTAGTTACTTAATAATGTGCTGTGCTGCCAGCATCAAGAACAGTGTCTCAGGAACTCAATAAACATCTGTTAAGTTAATGTTCAAGGCCCTTTCTAGTAAGATTTTTATGAAAAAGTTATTAAGAACGGAATGAGAATATTCAAAGAAAATTCTCTAGAAGAAAAAAAAGTTTTCTAATTCTCAAATTAGGAGGTCTTTAAAAACTAACACTGAGAAGAGAGGATATTCTTGTTACCATGACATTATAAAGAGAAAAGATAAATTATAACTAGAAAGGAGAACTACATAGGATATATTTAATTTCCTTTCCTACTTTTTTTTTCTCTACCTACTGACAGAGGAAGAAAAATAATTTAGGAATGAAATTGCCTGCCAGTAATTTCTACTTACTAAGTATTATACACTTTAGATATATACAGTTTATATCCCATGAATGTTTACAATATTTTAGTTTCTTCTAAGTTTCACATATCTAGTAAAGTGGCAACCATGTAGACTGTATGGTATTTTGTTGATTTGATATGCCATAATCTGTTTAGTTACTCCTCTCTTACTGAGTGTTTCAATTTATTTCCACTACTGCAAGCATGTTGACTCCATGGTTAGACATGGGCCCAAAGCAGCTGGAATTACTTTTAGCTATAAGAAGCACAAGTTTTATTTTTTATACAGTATCATTTGACCTACATATTGTATCAGATGAAAAAATACAGAATACTAGTGAAGTTTGTGAGCTTCTCCCTTTTAAATTGGTTAGGAATCTTGAATATGGTAAATTTCATTGCTTTAAGCACAAGAGTAATTGTATTCAGCTCTCATACAAGAAATTATTACTTGTTTATGCTCAGAACATGCACATGCTCAGAAGAAGTTTGGGTTCACAGAATTTAAGACTAGAACATTACAATTTATTTACATTTGTGAATTATAAGAAACTCAGAAATCAGATATCCTCGGCCCAGCTGGTGGCATAGTGGTTAAGTTCCCGCACTCTGCCTTAGCAGCCCAGGGTTCCCAGGTTTGGATCCCCGGCATGGACCTATGCACCAATCGTCAAGCCATGCTGTAGGTGGCATTCCACATACAAAATGGAGGAAGATGGGCACCGATGTTAGTTCGGGGCTAAGCTTCCTCAGCAAAAAGAGGAAGACTGGTAACAGATGTTAGCCCAGGGCCAATCTTCCTCACCAAAAATAAATAAATAAATAAATGAAAATCAGATATCCTCTTTCTTCTATTTTTTTAAAAAACTATCTATGCAAGTTCACTTTCTTAATAGAAACAATATCTAATATATACTGAACAACTGCTATGTGCCAAACACTGTCTTCAATGCTTTAAATACATGTGTTATTTAATGCCTCTCACATCTGGCAGTTCATAATGAAGAAGAAAAGTAACAAACACTAGTGGGTTTCAAACTAAGAAATATATTGACTTTCTTAACACAGTCTGAAAGCCATCTATGTTCTAATGATTCTGTACCTTGCCACAATACTGTAATAGCAACTCTGATATGAACACTTTTTATTCACATAGCACTTGTGAATAAATGTTATGTAAATTATAGCATTTTCAAATTTCATTTATCACTTGTGAGGAAGGAATTAATATTCCACAAAAGGGTAAAGAGAAATTCAGAGATTAAATTTCACAAATGGTAACTGGCACAGAGGGAATTAGAATTCTAGTCTCTTAGGCCAATCATATTCTTTCCCTTGTGAGCAATGAGAAACGAAGAAAGATTCACAACCGCAGAAGGTTAGAAAACCACAGACACAGACTTGGTGCTGGGGAGAAGCTACTGCCCAAAAAGAAAAGAAGATCTCTTGACAAGAACTAGCTCCAATCTTTGTATTGAACAGTACATTTCAGTCTTAAGAGCTCGACTCTCCACTAGTGAAAGCACTCAGGAGATACCACAGTAACTGTTTAATACAAATTGCTCATCTCACTGGTAGGAATACTATGTACTGTTTTTTAATTATTGGCTTGAAATGCCTTATAATAGCACTTTAAACTCTGTATATGCTTCCACATGCACAATTATTCTATAATTAGATTGGATATTAGGAAGTAATAAATACAGAATATTTGATATCTCCTTAAGCAGACCATAAACGTGCAAAAAGCAGGAACACATTCTCAGAGCAACTCACACATAGTAGGCAGTCAACAGCTTGGCATTTTTGTTAAAAACTGAAAGCTAACTATAAAAGTCCAAAAACATTTGTAAATATAAACATTTTTAAAACCCCTATAGGCTTCTTTTATTAAATGCACACGTTAACCACTGAGAAGCATTAATTCTAAGAATTTATCTTAAATTCATAATTTCCTTTGATGCTCCTTTGTATCATCCTATGATCACCTGACAAGGAAATACTAGTATCCAAGGAAATGTAACAACCTAGTCTTTCAAAAATGTTAACAGAGGCACATCAAGAAAGATTGTACTCTTAGCAATTATCTATAATCCAAGGGTAAGAAGAAAATATACACACATATAGTACCAAAACTCACTAAGCAAAACAAAATTTAGAAAGGACAGTGTTTAGGAGAATTACTGAATTATGGGCATACACGTATTTGGTAAATTACTTAATATTTCACTGACATATCACCCTTTTGCGTTCTCCAACTTTATTTTAAAAGGAATTAAATTGTACTCTGATTACAAAATTCTTCAACAATTCCTACAATTTTAGCAAAAGTTTAAACTTCTGCTGATACGGTCAAGCTCATAACAAAGATAAGCTAAAGTTTTCTGACGGGAAGAGCTTGCCCAAAAATGACCTCAACTGGATGGATGTATCATCAGAGTTTCAGTGTTAAGGTTTGCAAAAACAAACACGTCCTAACACATAATTGAAATAGTTCATCAGATAAGGTCAATCATTTCGAAGGCAATCAGATAAAAATTTAAGAGGTTTTTCTGGTTTTAACAATGCTACCTACCATCTATATAAAACATTTTTTAATTTAAACAAGTCCTAAATAAGGTTTTAAAAAATTCAATGATTCTGTTGTCTCAAATGAATCAAATACAAATTTCTATTTTGTCATCTGAACAAATATTCAAGATTTGCATCTTCCACTTCTATATTCAAATTGCATATGTTTATGACCTAAGCAAATCAAAATTTCACATTATTAAAAGCTATCAATACAATTTTTCTCTAAATAGTTCTAATAATATTTGCTAATTTTTATGAAGACATAACAGTATAAATTCTATTTTTAATTCTCAACTTGTCATGAGGAAATTATTTGATTACTTCTCCCTTTAAATTGCATTTAATTTGCAAAAGCAATTTGCAAATTTGCAAAATTAATTTGCAAAAGATCAATGGGGATAAATAAGGGTAAAAACAAGACAAAAAACTTTTATACAGGCCCCAAAACAGAGTTCAAGAGTATAACCTAATAAAAAAAGTCCTTAATTTAACCAAATCCATTTCTTACAATTACTTAGTATCACTCATTGAAAGAGGGTTTCTAAATAGTGTTCACCACTTTTTAAAAGTTGTAATAATTAAATTTGTTTTATAATGAGCAAATTAATGGTTTAGCTTATTACAAAACACAAAGAATTAAAATTCCAATAGTTATTAAATCTGAGCCATCCCTTCTTTCCCCTTATTCATCACAATATACCTTCTCTTACTGGCTCATTGGTTGATTCTCCTTTTAGACTCAGCATCCTGGAGAAGCCATTGGAAAGAGTAGAGAAAATGCCACGGATGAAATATCCCTCCTGCTCAGACTGCACTGACCTCACTGAAGTCGGCCATGGTCTAACAAATCTAATATCGCAGCGAGGTTCTGGCTCTGAAATAGATCTGGTGAATGGAACCCGAAGTGACTGGGTGTTGACCAGGTTCAGCTTCTCTGTTGATGTTCCAAGGACCTCATTAGCAGAGGAAGAAGCATTATTATCAACCATCTTTGGCAGGACCTCTTGTTGTGGTTCATCCAAGTCTTCTTTACTATTTTGCAATCTCTCCCTTTTGCTCCCTTTCCACCTAAGGCTGGAATGTGTTTGCCACCGATAAGCACCCAGTGGCTTTCCTAGATTAGAAACAGCCTGTTCATTTTTCTTTCTCTTGCTTTTCGCTGGACCACACCATGGATAACTCTTGAAGCTTGTTCCTATCTCTGAATTCGCATAAGCAGGTTCTGACAAAGATCTTCGATAGCTTGGAGGACAAGGTGATGTTTGTCTCTTAAAGATGCTCATCTTCCACGACTCCATTTTTAAACAACTTCTCTAAACTTTAAGTTTCCTCTATTCCGCACGCAGTCTTCACAGTTGAACCACACTTGTCCGTGCAGTCCAAAACATTCAACTGCTTAAGCAGCTTTCTTTGTGTGGCTTTGAACCACAGCAGATGTTGCTGCTTAAGAGTTGGTGTCATGTTATTATCCCATTTTCCCAGATCTCCGAAATTTCAGCAGCACCCAAAAATCTCTTGCCTGAAGCAAATTATCTTCAGAGTACAGCGAAAGTAAAGATTTCCAGAAGATCATCTCGCTTCCTGCAGTAGGTTACATTTCTGTACTAAGTCTTCAGGAAATGATTTATAAAAAAATAAGAAGTGAAATAAAAGTCACACAAAACCCACAAACACCTTTATGAACCAATAGTAGTTAAGTGTTCACCATGCAAATGATAGTGGGTTAAAAACAGATTGTGAAAGTACTCAAGCTGCCATCCACACTTTCCGGAAGAAGAAAAAAAACTTGCCTAAAGCCTGCTCTTTAAGTGACAGCTCTTCAGAATAGTTTTTACAGTCTGCATTTCAGAAATTTAATTTCAAGAAAATCATTGCTATTTATACCACAACTTCTCTCAAAGTTAATATTGTTTTTCAACCAATAGGTAAAGTCATATACTATTTTGTTCAACTAGACACTGCAAAGGAGAAGAAAAAAGGACAAAAGAATGCCAAAATTTAAAGACATTTTTATCGTAAATATACTATGGAGAATTAAAAAGGCATGGATGGATATAAAAGTGAACAGGGATAGAGGATATTTGCTACGAACTACAGCAAAGGAAAAGGAAAGTCTTGAGGCAAGATCTTGTGGCAACTGGAACATAGGAATGTACATACTTAAATGATTTCTAGAAGGGGAAAGTTTGCTTTGTAAATCTAACTGGGATAAGTTGTCTGGAAAAACATTCACTATCTATTTAACCAAAGAAATTCCTTCACTCCTCTTTGTGCTGCTTACAACTTTGAAAAAGAGCTGACTATTTAAAATTTTGTTAAAGCAAGTACCTTATACTGAACCAAGATCATGAATGCCAAGTTTTTGGCTGGTTATTTTTTTTTCAACTGTCTGCTCATAAACTCCTGAAAATAGGGGTTTGAATGGAAAGCCTGACAGAATTAGACCACCAATAAAAGAGCTATAACAGAGCAATCAAATCACATTGCAAGTTGTATAAAAGATGATTTCATCTGGAAAACTAAAAAACTATGCATTTACTTGTAGAATGTGTACAATGAAACCAGTTCTCACACTACGTCTCTCTCTCTCTCTCTTTACCATAGAAATAGTAAATTTAGTAACATACCTAGTCTTTCAAACATATTAAAATGTTCTAGTTATTTCCATTACCATAAAGCAATAATCTCGTTTTCATTTGTTTATATATATAGTCTCTAAATTTATAAATTTCTATATTAAAGAAATGTTGAAGTATTCAGCTTTCTCAAAAGCATATCAAATTAGACTATCTTACAATCCTAAAATTTTCCCTTGTTTACAAAGAAACACTTAGAAATATGAATTCGCACAAAGAGAAAAACAATAAACATTAAACTCTAATCTCTACTTATGGCACATCACACCATCCACAAAAATTAATCTGTGATGGAAAATAAACCTAAATGTGAAATGTAAAACTAGGGGCCGGCCCCATGGCTGAGTGGTCGGGTTCACGGGCTCCGCTTTGGCAGCCCCGGGTTTCACTGGTTTGGATCCTGGGCACAGACATGGCACCACTTGTCAGGCCACGCTGAGGTGGCGTCCCACATGCCATAGCTGGAGGGACTCACAACTAGAGTGTACAGCTATGTATTGGGGGGATTTGGGGAGAAAAAGCAGAAACAAAAAAAAAACGTAAAACTATAAAGCTTGTCAAAGAAACCATACGAAAATTTTTTGTGAACTGAGGGTAGGCAAAGATTCCTTAGAACAAAGAAAGCAATAACTATGACAGGAAAACGTTAATAAATGTGAATTCATAAAAATCAAAAGCTTCTGTTCAACAGAAGACATATTAAGAAAATCAATAAGCAAGCCACAAAATGGGAGAAAACATCCACAAAGCAAACATCTCACAAACAACTTGTACCACAATATATAAAGAACTCCTACAACTTATTAGTAAAAGGAAAAACAACCCAATTTTTAAAAACAGACTTAAGCAAAACCCTTCACAAAGAAAGCTATATGAATGGTCAATAAGCATATGAAAAAAGTACTCAACCTCATTAGTAATTAAAGAAATGCAAATTAAAGCCATAATGAGATATCACATCCACCAGAATGGCTAACATTTAAAGGGCTGATAGCACCAGATGTTGGTGAGAACCTGGAGCAACCAGAAATGTCACAATTGGTAATGGAAGCATAACATGGTACAATTACTATGAAATAAATTCAACAATTTTTTTACAACGTTAAACATACATCTACCCTACAACCCAGCAGTTCCACTGATATGCATTTACTCAAGAAAAATTAAAATATACATATTTGTATGTGAATGTTCACAGCAGCTTTATTTATAATAGCCATAAACTGGAAACAATCCCAATGTCCATCACAGTAGAATAAACAAATTGTGGGTATTTTCATACAATGGTGTACTACTCACCCACAAAAAGAATGAACTACTAATACACAAAATAATGTGGATGAGTATCACAGATATTATGACAGGAAAAGGAACTACGCCCAAAAGGGTACACACTGTATAATTCCATTTCTAGAGAGCTCTAAAACAGGCTAAACTAATCTATAATGGCAAAACAAATCAGAAAAGTAGTTCCCAGTGGTGGAGGGCACTATTAACAAAAAAGGGGCACCAGGAAGCTACCGAGGGTGATAGAAACTTTCTAAGTCTTGATAGAGATGTGAGTTTGGGTATATATATTTGTCCAAACTCATGAAACTGTTTCCTTAAGATTTATGTATTTTGCCATAATTAAATTGCACCTTAACAAACTGTAGGCAATACTGAACTCTAGTTAGTAGATTTGCTTATCCTGTCACAGGTTAGCAATTTTAAAACCACTTCTGTCTATTTGAGGCTTGAGGAAAGGAGAAAATACATCGAAGAGAATGAATAAATGGATGAATAAATAAATACCAATAATAAAATAAACTAACATTATATGCCTTCTGATATGGTGAACTGTGAAGGATACAACACTTGTGTGTTATTCCTGCAAAAAATGCATAACCTAAATCTAATAACAAGCTACCTCAGATAACCTTAAATTAAAAAAGATCTACAAAGTAACTGTGCTCCTTACTTCAAAAATGTCAAGGTCAAGAAAATCAAAGAAAGGCTATGGAGCTATTGCAATTCAAAGAAGACTAAAGTGAGACAATGAAAAGCAAGGCATGATTTTGTATTGGATCCTGAACTGTGGGGGAAAGAATAGCTGTAAAGGACATTATTGACACAATTGACAAAATTTGAATATAGATTATGAATTAGATAATAGAGGTCGGGGTCAGCTCTGTGGCCGAGTAGTTAAGTTCGCGCACTCCGATATGGCGGTCCAGGGTTCAGATCCTGGGCGCGGACATGGCACCACTCCTCAGGCCACATTGAAGCGGCATCCCACATCCCACAACTAGAAGGATGTGCAACTAAGATAGACAACTGTGTACAGGGGGAGTTTGGGGAGATAAAGCAGAAAAAAAAAAATAATAATAGAGGCCTATCAATGTGTAATTTCCTGATATTGATAATTTTACTGTGGTTATAAAAGAAAATGTTCTTATTCTTAAGAAATTCACACAGAAGTATTTAGCATATATGCGCATGATGTTTCCAAGGAACTCTCAAATGATTCAAGAAAAAAACTATGCATGTAAAGGTAGATAAAATATGATAAAGCAAACAGGGCAAAATATACATAACTGTTGAATCTAGGTAAAGAATATGTGGGAGTTTCGTATACTCTTGCAAATTTTCTATGGCTTTGAAATTACACCAAAATAATATATTACACAAGTAAGTTTTTAAAAATTTCACAACTACTTCCTTTGGATCTATAATACAGATATTTTTATTACTAATAATGTAATGGCCCCTGTTTCAGAGTATCTTTGGGGCAATATAACAAAATATCTACTTTCACAGGTTTTATGGGAGAGGGAAGTTAATCAAGATCACCCTATTAAAATATCTCAATGGAAAATTAAAGTAAGGCTATAACTTTGAGAAAAGTTGAACAATAGGAGTAGGAGCTGGGCCCTATAATCAACACTATGAAATTCAGAGACTCAGTGCTACATGAGAAAATACTTTTACAAACTAAACAGGTACAGTTAGGGGTAAAAATAATTATCGTTGTTTCTAAACTCATCAACTCAATTCTTTTGAGGAACTACCCTAATTCTTCTTACCATAAACTTCTCTATTTGAGGAATATGGAACTGGAAAATATTAAATAACAGAAAAAGATTCAAGCGAAATCAGAAAGCAAAAGAACAACAGACTGAGGAAGTGGCAGTCTCTAACAGGAATCATCAAAGAAATGAAGATTCATCTCAATCACAGCTGACTAAAGTTCAATTTGACAAATGCTTCAAATTATCTTCACTCATTATGAAAGTCTAATATCATTTATGTTAGTTATTTCTCCAAGTTTTATCTCTCATCTGAAATTAAGATGATAACCTCATACTCTTCATTTTCTGAATTTTCTCAAATACATATAAATGAATCTACGAATTTTTAAGAAAATATTCGCAGGACTCATAATTTCTTAAGATTAAAAACAATGACACTAGTATCACTAAATAACTACATTCATTATGAAACCTACTCTAAAAATTGGTAGCTGATTCAAGTGTCAGAACAGGAACATTTCTGCCACCTCAAGTATCAACTAATTACCTTAAAACTTTCTTAATAGTAATTTGTAATATTTAAAGCATAACTCTAAGAATTACTCTGGTTGCTAAGTCAAAAGAAACACCTAGGGGCTGGCCCCATGGCCTAGTAGTTAAGTTCAGCACACTACGTTTCAGTGGCCCAGGTTCACAGGTTTGGATCCTGGGTGCCGTCCTACACCACTTGTCAGCCATGCTGTGGCGGCAATCCATATACAGAATAGAAGATTGGCACAGATGCTAGCTCAAGGTGAATTTTCCTCAAGCAAAACAAAAAAAGAAACATTTGAATTCCCTAAATAAATATGCAAGTACTTATACTGACATAGAGTCATATTTCAAATTGTTATTGAGCACCTACAATGTATCAGGCACTGTATTAGGACTAGAAGAACAACAAAAAACAGGACAGTCACTGTCCCTACCCTCTTGGAACTGCCAGTTGATCAGGAAAGGTTTACATTAGGAAGGGTGTTAGAGAAGTGTATAGTCAGGAGATTTTGACCAAGTCTAAGGAATAAAGGATAGAAGCAATTTCTTCTTGATCTCGAGATTCTACCGTTATAGTCAATTCTGCTATAAGGTGATATGCATTCCCAAAAGTCACTACACTATACAAAATTGCACAATAAAACTGCAGGGCTTATGGGGAAGATGGGGTTGAGAAACAACACTCAGAAACTTCAACAATGTCACAAAAAAAGATAAGAAGCTAATAAAAACTGTAGACCAATTTACACGTTAAATGGTTAAGAAACAACCAAATGCTAAAATAAATATGGCACATTACCTTGAAAAATGCCTGAAGTTTGACTATGGAAGTGAGCGTCAGAAAGGCTGCAGCTTTGTCATTTTCGTGTAGTGGTGGAAGGAGTGTTATCTGAAATCCAAAGTGGATGGGTGTGGCTCGTAATAGATGTGGAGAATTGAGGTAGCTCGTAGTGGACTAAAACGTACGCTTTCTGAGTATTTCCTACATGCATGGTTCACTTGGATACAATTTTCTGTGTTCACCCAGTATTTCTCCGACAAATGGCACATAAGCAAACACAAAATTCAGGTAATGCTCAAATCAATCCCTAACATCAATCTCATGGTACAAATCCTTGTTTTCAAAACAAGCACAATAAAAGAACTGACTGTATTTTCTCTGCTCATCCCTGTAATTGGTATGGTAAAAACCAGGTGAACATCAACAGGAGACCTCACCAGTGACAGGCACAATAAAAGCAGAGGGGAAAATACTCTTAACCTTAGTAAATTCAGCTCTTTAGTTCAAACTTTTTTATTATTTTCTTTTCTTCCTCCTCTCTTTATCAGAGCAGTAAGAACCAAAAGACCCAACTCATGATGTAGGCACGGAGAACCAAGAACAAGATCTGCTTCCAGACCAGTGCTTCTCATGTTGCGATGTGGCTGAATCACCAGGAGATCAACTAAACGTAGACTGTGCTTTAGTACCCGGCGCTGAGGGCCTGAGAGTCTACATTTCTAACAAGCTCCTAGGCAG